TGGCACATTAATATTGTATTCAGTTTCATATTGAAAGTGAATAAATCTTTAAATCAAACAGCGCTGCGAAGTCCGCTCAGGCTGAGAGCCCTGCTGGTGCCGGTGGGGAGGGATGGGGGGGTCCCATCCTGCATCTAGGGGTGGGATAGAGGTCCCTGACACGGACCAGATGCATCTCAGCTCCACCAGGACACCACAGCCCCTCTCAGGCCTTGCTTCTCTAGCAATTAGCAGCTAATAACCATCCCTCAGAGGCCACCCTCACCTGGCCACCACAGCCCCCATTCAACCCAGGAGCTGACTGGAAATGAACGAGCTGGATGGGCAGAGATGAGGGACCTTGTAGCTCCCCCTGGTCCTCAGCTTCTAGGGAAAGGGAATCCCTGCTCCTGTCCTGCCTCCTCGTGGTGGGATGTCCCTTATCTCTTGTGCCTTTGATAGGTCCCAGCTGGGACGCCTCCAGCATCAGCCAGAACCAGGATAGCATGAGGTACCCCCATGATGGCCACCTCCCCAGGACACCCACTCCATGCAGTTCCCTTGAGCCCACCACCCAACTGGGCACTGTACCTGGACTGGGGATGCCCCAGGGAAACCCAAACCTCTCACCAAAGCACCCTTCCCCATCAAACGGGGTCTGAAAGGTGAGTCAAGGCAGCAGAGAGGGGACAAAGCTGACAGTCCCCACCAGACACACCAACTTAGAGGCCGTCAAGCTCCACTGCCTTCTTCCCCCAAAAGGCCAAGGTCTGCAGCTCTGGGCTTAACCGCGGGGCAGGCAACAGGGACAGAGTGGCACCAGCACCAGAGTGGGAGACCTGGCAACCCAGGCTGGGGTGACTTGGTGGCAAGGTAACGAGGAACACAGCTCTAACGAGGCGGCTGGGGACCCTGGGAGGTGACACCTGCAGCAGTGCAGGGAAGAAGGCGGCATTGATGGCACACAAGGGGAAGGGACTGGCCTGTGGGGACACAGGAACGACCCAGCTCTCGTGGAGCCATTGCTCCCAGTCAGAGCAGATCTATGTCCCAGTCCCAGACCCAAACTGGGGACGAAACCTACAGGCAGTGCCCCAAGCAAGGAGAGGGACCCTGTGCTGCCCGCAGGAGAGAGGACAGAGTCTTGTCCCCACATCTCCAGCTGTGCCTCCAGCTGTGCCACCCATCTAGTATTTATGGGCTCTCACCTGGGGATGCCAGGCAGAGAGACCTCCCCAGAACCTGCTGCAGGGAGGCAACCAAGCCCTTCCAAGCAGCCAGGATGGGTGAGGGGGACATTCGAGGGGACACGAAGGCGCTGGCCCCTGCATCTCCCTGCCTGATGGGTGCTCCTGCCACCCAGCCAACCCAAACCCAGCGCCTCCCTCCTTCCCCCGCAGCTGCATTGCCCCTGCAGCCTGTTCCTGTGCCCGTGCCAAAACCCAGTGCTATTTTTGCTCCCGTTTTTTAGCAGCAGTGGAAATGCCTTCTGCTCCACCCTAGGCGTGGGGACCGAGGGGAGAGGGGCAGCCTTAGCCCAAGGGAGCCATTCTGTGGGGAGAGGACACCCCAACCTAAAACAGCCTTGTAACCCCCATGGCCCTGAGCTGAATCCAGCCCCAAAATGCACTGAAGGGCTGGCACCCATGGGATGCTCACACCCGTCAGGGTGGCACATGGACGCAGAAGGGTGTCAGGGCCAGGAACACATCCCCATGGATTATTTTCCCCAGGAAAATAACGTTTCCACTCTGCCACGTCTTCCCAGGTCTGACCCAGGCTAATCCCAGCATGATGGTCCCCAAGAGGGAGCACAGCCAAGGGCAGCAGCCACCTCCTTCCCAGCCCAGGCAGAGGTAGCGCAGTCACAGCAGCTCAGAGTGGCATTTTCTTCATTTTCCAGCCAGGCACATGCTGTTCCCTGGCACTCGGTAGTTCGCCGGCACACCCCAATCCTCGCCCTTCCTATCCCACTGCTGGGAGAAGCCCAACATCTGCACGGAGCCTGCGAGCTTTTGGGAAAATGCCACGGTTTCCCTGTGCCTGGGTGAAAATTCACCATGACAACAGGGATGCGCGAGCTGGCCTCAGACCTGCCTCCGCGGGCCTCCTCCAAAGCCTGGCTCAACACAAACAGCATCTCCTCCGCACCGTCACCGCCTTCCCCGGGGTGACGAAGGCCAGACCCTACCCCACATCCCCCCAAACATGGGCACGCACAGCAGCCTCCCCCACGCCTCTCCCCTCCACGGCGAGGGTGGCTGGAGCAGGATTTGGGATGGCAGAGCCATCGCTGTGCGGAGATGCTGTGGCTGGGAAGGAGGGCACGGAGGCCGGGCTGGACACAGCCTCCAGGCTCCAGCCCAGCCACCAGCAGAAGCCACACAGCTCCCCTGGACCCTGGGACTGCTGGCCCCTGGATGTGGCCTCTGGCCACGGGTGTCACAGGCTCCTGGCTGGAAAACTCAGGGTGGGGGGCTCAGCCCTATGCAATGTGCCCCCCAGCAGCTCCTGCTCCTCCAGGGCACAGCAGATGCCAGATCCTTGCCGGAGGCACCGTGTCCCCTTCTCCGGAGCATCCCACCTCCCCACGCACACATGCCAAACCTCACTGCTCCACAAAACGCCAGGCTCTGAGCTCAACACTGCACCTCAAAACCTACCCCCGGGGTGCCCACACAGCTCAACGCTCCCCCAGAATGAACAACAGGGACCCTGTGACTGAGTCCCCCCCATCCCCTAGCTGTGTCCCTGGCTCCCTTGGCCACCACTGAGACAGATGCCATGGGACCAGGACCAGCACGGCTCCGGGGCTCCTTCCTCCCCACTGCCAGTCCGTGGGACCAGGGGGGAGAATTAGCACCCCCGGGCTGTTGTAGAAATGGGGGGACCCCCAGCCCCTGGGTACCAACACCGCGTCACCACAGCATCCTCAGCGCAGCGCCTTGGAGCTTGCTGAGAAAAATCACAGCTGGGGGAGAGGAGCCTTCCCACGGCCACGGAGGGACGGGGATGGGACCTGAAGGCAGAAAGCACCCCCATCCCCAAGGACTCCCATTGGCAGTGCCAGCTGTCCGGCTGCTCCAGCCCCAGTAAGCCCCACCACGCCAGGTCCACCATCACCCATCCTGCTCACGCAGCCCCCCGGAGTGGGCAGCAGGTCCCCACAGCCTGGGGGACGCTGGAGGGACTCCGGCCAGCGCTGCTCTGCCAGCGGGGTGTACGGGATGCTCAGGGAAGGTAACACAACCTTCTGCCAGCATTGCCTGCCTGGGGCTCAGCTCAGCCAGGGAGACCCTCGGTATAGGATGGTCGGCACAGCTTCCTTCCCCGGCACAGCATCCCTCCCGGCACAGCATCCTTCTCGGTACAGCATCCCTCCTGGCTCAGCATCCCACCCCAACACAGCATCCTTCCCTGGTACAGCATCCCACCCCAACACAGCATCCTTCCCTGGTACAGCATCCCTCCCCAACACAGCATCACTCCCCAACACAGCATCCCTCCCCGGCTCGACGCAGCGTTACACAACAGGTAGAGGACGGGGGGACCCACCACCCCCCAGCGC